TTGTTGCATCAGCTCTGGTGAGATTGGCTAATTGTGATTGATTCAAAATCAACCTGTTTCCAAGCCCATATCGAAGTATTGTGTGGGGGGAATCTTCTTTGGAGAAATGATGAGTTTGTATTAAGTGTTTGTTACTGGTTCAGCATTGACATGGTTGAGAGAAATGCACATTCAATGGGGATTTTTGGCCGAAAATCCTTGTTTTGTTTGTTTACGGTTACATCTGTTTTGTTCATGTTGTCTTGGTCCTTTGTGCTGCGTTCAGCCGGTCGGCCTCACTTTGTTGACCTGAATATACTACCCAACTCCAAGCTTCTTGCCTTGGCAGATGATGGGAATTCCCGGTCTAGGAGTCAGAGAGATGGTGAGATCCCTATATTAGTTGATAAGAATAGAGCACCAAAAAAGTACAACTTGTTTAAGTGCAATCCTAGTAACCAAGTTCTTAAAGTTTTTATGTATGACCTGCCCCCTCAGTTTCATTTTGAACTCTTAGGATGGAAGGCTGAGGGAAAAAACAGTATTTGGCCCAATATCCGCAATAAGGTTCCTGAGTATCCAGGTGGATTAAACTTGCAGCACAGTATAGAATATTGGTTGACGTTGGATCTTCTCTATTCTGAAATTACTGACAATTTGAATGGTAGAAGTGCCATAAGAGTGTATAATTCAAGTGAAGCTGATGTCATTTTTGTACCATTCTTTTCGTCAATCAGCTATAATCGGTTTTCAAGGCTTAAGCCACACCAAAAAACGAGCATGAATACCTTACTACAGGAAAAATTGGTTACCTTTTTAACTGCTCAAGAGGAATGGAAAAGATCAGGGGGGAAAGACCATATTATTGTCGCCCACCATCCGAATAGTCTTTTGGATGCAAGAGTGAAGCTTTGGCCTGCAATGTTCATTCTTTCTGACTTTGGAAGGTATCCTCCAAGTGTAGCTAATGTTGAAAAGGACATAATTGCACCTTATAAGCATGTAATCAGGAATTATTACAATGACACTTCTGGTTTTGATAGTCGACCAATTCTTCTTTACTTCCAAGGAGCTATATACAGAAAAGATGTAAGTTATTTTATTCGTCTATTAGCTATTTGTCTCTATTTTTATTTGTAGATCATTACTATGTTAGTGTCATCTAGGTTCACTTGTGGGTGGCAAAATAAGGCAGAACTAGGAGAAGGATAGAAGTAAAAATTGTACTTGGATGTATTTCTGTTGTTCGGGATAATGTGTTTGCTTTTTACTGCACAACATATGTTCTGGAAAGTGTAGGAAAACAGTTGACAGCTGACACTAGTGTCTTGTGACAATGTGTATCTTGTTTAGAGAGATAAGGAAGAGTTGGACTATACTACAATGAGGAGCCAGGTGGGATTGGGTGCTATCGGGAGATGATGAAGAAACTCTTCCATGAAACACAACTTTTAGCCCATTTGAAAATGCCTTTGTTAGACAGTGGTAACTGAGTATTTATTGAGGATTTTGTCGAACCATACTGGAACATGGATGACACAAGGAACCAGCCCACCTTGTTTTCTTTGATGTTCCGACTTTCAAGAAACACCTTATCCCAACAAGTGTTAGCTTATGCCCTTTCCTTCTTTGTGATGATCTTTTTTCTTTCTTCTATCTTTGGAAGTGCAATGAGGCGTAGGGTGCAGACAACATGATACTTTGTTGATCAACTGGAATTGTTCACATCCAGTTTTTACTATCTGTACTTAAGCTTAGTAGTAGATAGTAAACATGGTTAATTTAATATCAAAATGTTGCAAGGTTTAATCTGGACTAGTTTCTTGTATGTTTACCCTGATTTCTCAAACATTTTTCTTGATGATTCACCAGGTTAACTCTCAAATGAATTTCAGTGTACGCGTTGTGAATAAGAAGCCTGTGACTATATGCCATCAATCAATATGTAGATCTGGGTATTGAGAAGAGTAGTTTTTAAGCCCTTTTTTTGGGTTAAAAGTATTGAGAAGAGTGGTTCTTACCAGAGCTCGGTGGGTAATGTGTACAATAGTGAAAGCCTGAAACAATTTGATTAACACTGTGATCTGATAGTATGAATTAATACCCATAATCACTCCCTAAAGCCCTTTAATTCGACAAATATTTTGGTTAAATTACAGCAGTGTTACCTCTCCATTCCTTGCATTTCCATTATGATCCAATATAAAGAACTGAAGCCCAAATATCATAATGAACCCATGAGTCAAGCTTTACCTTCTTATGCTTTGCTCTTCCTTATACATGTTTCTAGTTCCTCCTATGTTGTGTTCTCTGGATTTGTATTTCTGACTCTTGTTTCTCATCCTCAGGGTGGGTTTATCAGGCAAGAATTATTCTATATGTTGAAAGACGAGAAAGATGTTCACTTCTCCTTTGGGAGCGTTCAAAAGGATGGTATAAAACAAGCTACAGAGGGAATGCACTCCTCCAAGTTCTGCCTTAACATTGCTGGTGACACTCCTTCATCGAATCGCCTCTTTGATGCGATTGCTAGTCACTGTGTACCAGTCATCATTAGTGATGAAATAGAGCTCCCCTATGAAGATATTCTTGACTATTCAGAGTTCTGCATATTTGTTCGTACCTCAGATGCTCTCAAAGAAAAATTCCTCATAAACCTCATTAGGAGTATTAAGAAAGAAGAGTGGACTAAAATGTGGGCTAGGTTAAAGGAGGTTGAAAATCTCTTCGAGTATAGATATCCTTCTAAGGATAATGATGCTGTTCAAATGATCTGGCAAGCCATTGCGCGTAAGGTTCCTGCTGTTAATTTGAAGTTGCATAAATCCTGGAGATTTTATCGGACCCCTTGGAAGGAAAGAGGGTTGAAATCAACTCTGTTGCCCAAAACTTTTTGGTAAGCACTTACTGAGTAGTTCTTGTATTTGCAATTGACAAAACATTTGCTATGTCTTAGCAGCATATTATTTATACCAAATTTTGGAACAAAGCCAAGTGTAGCAGACAATAGATATAAGGAAACATAGTCAGTGAAAGATAGAAAAAAGAAAGTTATGTTATAGGCTTATGCTTGTTGAATCAGTTGGAACTAATTGATAAATTTGTTCATTCGTTATTTTTTATCTGTTTCAGTCTTGATATCATTCTTTAGTTTGTATTAAAAGGAGCAGCTCCTATAGGTTAAGTTCATATTGGAAATGTAATTATTTCTAGCTAAGGGATTACAGTCCCCACCTACCTCCTCCTCCCCTCGGGAGAATCCGCATTCGGAGTGGAACGCAGTTGGATTTTGGTTCACCGTAATTCCTTAACTTTTTGATAGTTAAAATACTATATAAAATGTTATTTTGAGAAGAGACAACAACAACAACAACGACCCGCTAAAATCCCACAAGTGGGGTCTGGGGAGGGTAGTGTGTACGCAGACCTTACCCCTACCCCGAAGGAGTAGAGAGGTTGTTTCCGAAATACCCTTGGCTCAAGAAGACGGAAAATACGAGAAGAGAAGGGAAGGGACAATATATTAGTACCATCAAACAGAAACCAAAGAAATAATATTAGCATCACAAGAACTAGAAAATAGTTGAAATGCAATAACAAATCCAGAAAATAAGCCCGATGCTATGAAAACGCAAGGATAGGGAGAACACAACATAAACTCCTAGCAGTCTAAGACCACCCTTATCGAACTAGCCTCACCCCAAGACTCGACTACGTCCTAACCTACAACTCTAATGCTCGACCTCCACACCTTCCTATCAAGGGTCATGTTCTCGGAAATAATCCGGTATAAGCATAGGTAAAACTGCATGACCAGAATAATATAGTGTTGGAAAACTGTCCGCGCGCATATATCTCTTTACCTTAGGAAATTGCCTCTTGTCCCTCATGGAATTGCACAATGTTGAATTGCACAATGTTGGGAAAACGGCATGACCGCAGTAGCAAAATGTGAACATACTCGCTGCGGTTGCCAAACCGTTCCATATCCAAAGCATACCTCTCTCCCGAAAACCCACACCATCCACGGACGGTGCCAATCCAAAAAACTGAAGCAACTAAAATTACAGAGGCCATAACCCCTCCGGCAGACGTATACGTTAATAATCCTAAGTTTCTTAGCCATGTTGTTGGTAATATAATTAAACCAGCTATAATGACAAAGGATTTTCTTAAGTTTGAGAAGAGAAAACATAGTCGGGTAAAATTTTGAGAAGAGAAAACTGTAAATTAAAATCTTAAGTTTTAAGATTCGAATTTTACGGAAACATTGTCGGGTAAAATTTCTGAACCCCTTGAGCTAAATGAGATGTAACAGTCGAAAATTTGCCAACCAATGTTCCCAATTGAATATCAGAAAATTGGCAGGCTGAGAGTGCACTCTGCTCCTCAACTATGGATTACTTGGCTTGCTTCTTGAAAGTGTTCTAGCTCTGAAAAATGCAACTCCTGACTGGGCCAACAATAGCTACCCACCTTACATCTCTTTCTCCCCAGCAGAGGATCCACTATGAAAAACATGCTCAGGTCTAGAAGACCAAGACGTGCACCTTTCAACGCTGCCGCTCATCTAACAGGATTGACCAGAAAACTAGGCGCATAAATCGAGATGAAACTGATTCCCCTACTAGGCCCTCAACCAATGCAAAAATGGCCCAATAACTTGAACGGGAACAATCGGGGGCGGATCCACCATGTTCATCTACTTTGAATGCGTAGTATAAATTTATGTCCAATAGTTTATTAAATTGCGACGAATATCAGATATAAACTCTTAATTTTAAAAATATAATAAATTTCATGCTAATAACATTAAAGGTTAAACTCATAAAATTTAAATCTAGAATTCACATCAGGGGGAATTAAATTTGAATTCGTACTTATCATTTAGGGATAAAAGCATCTTAATAAAAGCACTCAATATTCATGATTTAAACTTGAACCTCTAATTAAGGAGGAATGATTACAGATCACTTTATAGTAATCCTTATCGGTGGTTTACACATATTTCATAAGGGAAGTCGAGTCCGAGACCAAAGTAATATAAATTTGGACTTGAAGAACCAAACAAACATGGAAAAAAAAATCTTGAACCAAACTACATATAATGCATAGGGTATATGCGTTATATGCGTCTGGGCAAAGGGGCCTAACAGCCGTTAACCGGCCCAAAGTGATATAACGCATGGTGGCATGCGCTATATGTCCCATATTAAACCTCTTCTTCCCGACAGAAAGGACACAATACGGTCGCTCCCCCATTTTAAATTTCGCCCGGCTTGTGAAGGTCCTACCATGCGAATTGTTTAAGTTTTCTACCAAAAAACACAAGATTCAAGGTATATTCAAGGCGTAGAAGAAGAATTTTGCTCGAATTTCGGGGAAAATGGAGCATTTCGGCCACATTGAATATTGAGGAAAAAGATTCAAGCTTGAGGTATAACAAATCATGTATTCTTTTATTTTTCTCGAGTTTGATAGTGTTTAACCCTGAAATTTATCTTTTTTCTTACTCGAATTGAAATTTTTTTGAATTTTATTTCTGTACTTCGGGAATCTCGTGGAAAAATTAAAATTTTAATTATATAAATTTTACTTTTTAAAATATCTTTTTTTGCATTTTTCCGATGTTTTTGTTTATTTATTTATTTTGGAATTTCTGTCATTACTTTTTTTTTGCCAATTTCACATTGTATTATGAATTTTCGTTGTCAATTAATATTTATTTTTAATTATTTGATTTAGTTTAATAATTTATTATTGAAGTTTAATTATATAAAGTATTTGTTAGTATGCATTTTTTTATGGAATAAGTTTAGAGTTGGCGAATTGACGAGTTTGGTGAATTTGGCATTTTGTTTAAACGGATTTCATATTAGGATGGTTTGTGCGATTATTTAATGGTTATTAACAAAAATTATAATGACCTAATTACAAAGGAAACTCTATCGAAATTTTAGCGTAAAAAGATTATAAAATAATATATAAATAAATTAATAAATTACAAACATAGTTAATACTCCATACATTTTAAGTAATAATTTGAAATCAATAAATTAATGCTCTATTTTACACTCCAAAATAATAATAGCATAATATCTTCATACTTTTTTCACTTCAAAAAGTATTTAGTTAATGAATTTTTAAAAACATAATATTCCAAAATAAAAGATATATTTAAATATTAAATTATGCAATAAATAGCTCTATATATTGAACACTGCCAAAAAATATTACTACCCCTTAATAGACATGTTGAAACTTTATTATCTTCCAAGAATATGAGCTACCAAAAATACTTTTAAGTTATTATCTTCCTAGCAGCAAGGCCACCATTTCTATGACGACCCGACTTGTCATTTTGTGTAATTACGTCCCATTTTCCCTTTTGATACTTCACATATGCGTGTTTATAGTTTTATGACTTACAGGGTTGATTAGTTTCGTTCCGGAAAGATTTCGGGTTGATTTGGACCCTCTGATTCTTGACTTAGAAGCTTAAGTTAAAATGTTGACCAAACTTTGACTTTTGTGAAAACGACCTCGAAACGGTGTTTTGATGGATCCGAAAGCTTCGTACCGTGATTTTGGACTTGGGCATATGCCCGAAATCGAATTTGAAAGTCTGTAGGTTGATTTGTGTTGTTTCGCTGAAATTTGGCAATTTGAAGTTAAAAAGTTTGACCGTAGGTTGACTTTTAGCTATCGGGCTCAGAATTTGACTTTGGGACTTGGAATATGTCCGTTATGCTATTTAGAACTTGTTTGCAAAATTTGGTATTATTTGGAGTTGAATTGATATGATTTAGACGCTTAGTTGCAATTCTAGTAGTTCTTGAACTTTACTTGGAAATTCATGCGTTTTAGTGTTCGATTCGTAGTTTTAAATGTTATTTTTGTATTTTGATCACGCGAGCGAGTTCGTATAATATTTTGAGACTTGTGTGGATATTAGGTTTGGAGCCCCGAGGGCTCAGATGAGTTTCAGACATATTTCGAAATGAATTGAACTGAAAATAGAATTAATGGTGTTGCTGGTGCTCTAGTATCGCAATTGCGAGAATCAGCCTCACAATGAAGCAATTTTAGGAGGTATGTATTTTGTGTTCTTGCATGTTCTTAAGGTTATCTTGATGTTGATTAAGTTAAATGGACGGACTAGACATGAACTGGTGAATAAAGTTTCTAATTGAGGATAGTTGGAGTTGTGAATTATTTTCTTTGTTATAACTATATGGTATAAGGCTGGAATCATTGATGAATGACTTCATTTTCATGTTAATGATATCTTTAAGTTAAAGTAAGAAGTCTATAAGGGGTGATATGGGGTATATGGATTCCAATCGGAGCTTGCCGCTCGTCGTGAAGTAGTTGTGACTTGTTGTTGTTATATAGTGTCTTATTATTGATACTTATGTGTTACTGGATTGCTCTGGTTGTTGTTTTTGTTGTTTTTGGTATATGGTATTGGAGGAGGCCCTTGTTACAGGGGAGATGCTGTCGAGTTTACGTAAACGAGCTACTAGCTTAAGTTACGGACTTAGCCTTTACTCAACACTAATTTTGAATCTCCTTATGCTATGGTAGATTGAGTTGAGTTGTTTAAAGAGTTGCTTGGAAGGTATTAAGGACACAACATGGTTAAGATATGTTAAGGCTATCCCTTCTTTCCTTTTGGCATGATCCATATGATACAAATGAAACGAGCAAACGTGTAATTTTTATAAATGACTCTATTCATAGAGGTAATAGGGATGCCTATGTTCTTGATTCCCCATGTGTCCTGTTATTATATCGTCTGTTCATGGGTCTTAGATAATACATAAGTTTATAAAGTTTATATCATGATATTAACCGAAGGCATATTGATCTTATGACATTTCGAGAGATAGTATCAACTTACTTCTTTATGCATTGCATTCATTTATACATATACATTGACACATGACCAGATGGCGTTATATATACATATATGATATGTATATGGGGTATGGGGAAAGGTTACGACGTTATATACGCACCTCCACCTGATCAGTTGGTATACGTTGATGATTTCGCCTACAGAGGCCGAGATGATATGATGGGATGCCCTCAGAGGCTTGATGATGTTATGTACGTATATACATATGCATGATATGATATTTATACGCACATGCATGACATTATAAATGTTTTATGATTCATAGAGCTATTCAGACTTCCAAGTTGAGTCCTTTACTCCATGTTTTTATGTCTTTTATATACTGTTTTTCATGCCTTATATACTCGGTACTTTATTTGTACTAACGTTCCTTTTGCCTGGGGACGCTACATTTCATGCCCGCAGGTCCCGATAGACAGGTTGACAGTCCTCTTAGTAGGCTATTAGATCAGCGGAAGGTGTTGGTGCACTCTACTTGCTCCGGAGTTGCCTATTTGGTCAGTATGATTTGGACATGTATTGATTGTTATGGTGGGGCCCTGTCCCGACCTTTATAAAGCTTATGTACTCTTAGAGGCTTGTAGACAAATGTCATATATATGGATATTTGTATGGCCTTGTCGGCCTATGTTTTGAGTGTACAAATGATCATGTCATCGTTATAGGCCCATATGTCACATGTAAAAGTTTCTATATCATGTTGGGTCGTTCTATGTCTTATATTCCCTTATGTTTTATTCTGTTTATCTCATGACAGACCTTCTAGCCCATTTACCCATGATGGTATGATAAGAAAGATACATTACATTAGTACTCGGGTGAGTAAGGCACCGGGTGCCCATCGTGGCCCTCCGATTTGGATCGTGACACAAAAATCGCCTTAATCCGAGCTTGCAAAGTCCAAAATGAAAAAAATCCCGGAAACCCTTCGAATATAATTCTGTCCAGGGCCTTTCGCACCCGCGCTCCACTTAACCGTATCTGCGGTCCCACTTTTGCGGTCAAAGCTCCACATTTGCGGAGTTACATTAGACCCCCGCCCTCTCGCTTCTGCGGCCCCAAGCCCCCACCTGCAGGTGCGCTCCTGCACAAAACCGTACGTTTCTGCGGACCTGCCTCTCCAGTCCCCATTCCATTTCTGCGACCATCGTTATGCATTTGCGAGCTCGCAGATGCCGCATTTGCCTCGCACCTGCGGCCCATCAGCAGCCCAGCCAAACTCGCTTCTACGATGCCCCCTTTGCTTTTACGTCCTCGCACCTGTGACCAAGACCTTCGTAGGTGCGATTACACCAGTCCAGAACTCATCAACCATCTCTTAAGTTCAAAATTCGATTAGTTAACCCTCCGAAATCTACCCGAGCCCCCCAGACCTCAACCAAATATACCAACAAGTCCTAAAACACGATACGAACTTAGTCGAGGCCTCAAATCACATCAAACAACATCAAAAACACAAATCACACCCCAATTCAAGGCTAATGAAAACTAATGAATTCCAACTTTTACAATCGATGCCGAAACCTATCAAATCAATCCCGATTGATCTCAAATTTTGCACACAAGTCATAAATGACACAATAGACCTATTCCAACTTCCGAAACCAAAATTCGAGCCCGATAACCACAAAGTCAACTCTCAATCAAACTTCTCGACTCTCCAATCTTTTAATTTTCCAACTTTCACCATTTCAAGCCAAAATCACCTATGGACCTCCAAATCATTATCCGGACACACTCCTAAGTCTATAATTACCTTACGGAGCTATCGAAACCGTCAAAACTCCATTTCGGATCCATTTACACGTAAGTCAACATCCGGTCAACTCTTTCAACTTAATCTTTCAACCTTGGGACTAAGTGTCCCAACTCATTCTGAAACATCCCCGGAACTAAACTAACTACCCCGGCAAGTCATACAATAACAGTTGGGCATATAATAAGTAGTAATGGGGGAACGGGGCTACAACGCTCAAAACGACCGGCCGGGTCGTTACAAAAATAATAGAGAAGGAGCAGTTGGGATGCGGACACCGCTAAAAACACACACCGGTCTAATTGCGTGATTATGTTACTAATGTTGCCCAGAAATTGAGTCCATCTTGTCCTCCATCCACTTCACAACATCACTCAGATACGCCTTATCCTTTAACACAATATCTGAATTACAATAAATTCTCTATACAACAAAGGGCTTTCCTTGCAGCAATCACTGCAGCTCATGAACTGGCTCATTTCTATTTGGCCGTAAAATATGAAAAGAGGAGAGAAACAACGAGATTAAAAATACAGGCGCTAGAGAATAACAGAACATGGGTAATAAAGGATCTGCCTCCTAACAAAAAGGATCTCGATTGCAGGTGGCTTTACAAGATAAAGTACAACTCTGATGGAATAATTGATCGACATAAGGCCTAACTAGTTATTCTCGAGAATCATCAAGTATAGGGGATCGACTATAATGAAACGCTTGTCCCAGTGGCAAAGATGGTGGCTGTACGCATATTTTTGGTTGTAGCAACTGCAAAGAATTGGGAGTTACATCAAATGAATGTACATAATGCCTTCCCGCATAGGGATCTTTAGGAAGAGGTGTACATGAAATTGCCTCCTGGGTTTCGAGTTGCAAGTCCAGGAAAAGTGTGCAGACTTCGGAGTCCCTTTATGGGTTAAAGCAAGTGCTGGGGTATTGGTTTGCTAAGTTGTCGGCTGCCTTGGAGGACTATGGGTTCAAGCATTCATATTCTGATTACTCTCTTTTTACTCTGAAAATGGTGAAGTTCGAGTAAATATCCTTATGTATGTTGATGATCTGATTATCTCTAGCAATAAATCCGAGGCTATTCGCAAGTTCAAAATATGTCTTCGCAAATGCTTTCACATGAAGGATTTGGGTAGATTGAAATATTTTTTGGGAGTGGAAGTCTCCAAAAATTAGAAAGGTATCTTCTTGAGACAACGAAAATATGCCTTGGATATTATTTCAGAGGTTGGGTTATTAGGTGCTAAGCCTGTGGGAATGCCTTTGGAACAGAATCATCGACTAGCATTGGTAGGTAGACGGGCACTTGATGACCCTGAGCACTATTATCATTTGATAGGTCGACTTATTTATCTGTGCTTCACTCGGCGGAAACTATCCTATAGTGTTCATATTTTATCTCAGTTCATGCAGCAACCAAAAGAGGAGCATTGCAACTTTATGGGTTGTTCACTTTTACTAAAAAGCAAATGTAATCTACGTCTCTATGGATGGTATGACTCTGGGCTGGTTTTCCCTTGACTCGACGCTCGCTTATAGGTTGGTTTATCTCGTTTTGCTTATACCATTTCTTTGTGAATGCTCCACTTTTCTCTTTGTCGTGCTACTTCCGCTAGTAGATCGTTCAACACCTACTGCACAAACCTATTTTGAACCTATTGGTCCTAGTATCATAGGCGATCGAACGGCCGCCCCCTAATTACTAGACCAACCTGCTACAATAATTCCATAAAACACCTAGCGAAGATATGGCAAACAAATAAAGTGACTCACCCATATCTTGGAATGACAATCTGTGAGGTGAAATGGTTGAAGGAATTTTTATCAACTTTGGGAGTGACTTTCACTTCCCCTATTCATCTTTATTGTAACGGTCAAACAGCATTACACATAGCATTTTATTCGTGACAATATTGATAATGGGAATATTCGCACTAGCTTTGTGACTTCACATAAGCAATTGACAGATATCTATACAAAGGCATTAGAAAAATCTCAGTATGTTTCTCTCTTGTGCAAGTTGGGCATTTGTAATCCGCATGCGCCAGCTTGAGGGGGAGGGGGATATTGAAAAAGCGTGTGTGTGGGTGTATATATTTGTATATGTTTAGGACTAGGAGAGTTTTCTTTTTCCATATTTGCTAGGACTAGTTTTTCATATTTGTTAGTACTAAAGTTTACTACTTGACTTGTATATATATTCTTGTTAATCAATAGAAGAAGGCATGTCTTTCTCTTCCACGCTTGTCCATCGTATGCTTGCGTGTTTTGGCAATTTTCATCTTCAGGTTATTAAAGCTAATTTTCTATCTTTAGTTTTGATCAAGGTAAGCATCATAGTACGCTCCTTTAACTTTCTTGTGTTTTTTGTTAGTGTTAGTTTCATCTTTTAGATCTTAAGGAAATAAAGTAACACATATATCTATTAGTTTCTTCTTCTCTTTTCCTGGATGATATGTCTTTAATGCACCTTTGCTGGTATTTATATATCATGACTATATTGTGAAATCCCAAATTATGAGAATATTATCTTTTTAAAATATCCGCCGTTAAAATAACAGTTTTTGTTATCCCAACTACTTGATGCTGATAGGTCAGCTGAGAGCGCGAGATTCGGGGTACTCAGAGATGAAAATTATGGTAAGATTACTTTCCTTTTCTAGATTGTTACATGGTGTTATTTTAGTAGATAATGTATTATTTTTGATTGTGTTGCTACTGACGAGGAGTTGTTCTAAAGTGATGGAAACCACAAGTGAAAAAGAGTAACATATTTAGAGTACTTTTAATTTATAGTAAATTAGTCATTAGCATATGTTGCCTTTACAATTTACCAGCACTGGTCGACAACATAAATTATGAGGATGCACTATTAATTTGTGCAAACTATAGAAAAGGTCAATTAGAAAAAAAGAAAAAAGAAAAAAGGGACGAGATCATTTACATAGAGGATTCTCGGAGAAGTGATCATGCATACGAGATGGTAGTGACACTGAGTCTTAGAATCCAACATCTACGATCAATAAATTACTCATATAATGAGATCATTATCAATACTTATGTGTATTGATGTAGTTTGTAAAGAAGTCAATATCAATATAGCGACTACTTAGACTCAAACCACCAAATTATGGGAAAAAAAGAGAACAAAAATAGGTATAACACATTAATTAAATGCGCTATGTCACTCCCTCCCCCTCCTTTTTTTTGAAATATACATATGATTGAAAAGCAGAAAAATGACATTTATTGTACTTAAAGAGCAATAGACTATTGGGTGCTCCGAAGCCTAAAGGCTATGTTTTGAAGGTGGGTTTCTGCCTTGGAGTCTAGGGTTCAATTTCTACCACCTACAAATTTTATTTTTTTGTTTCTTTTATATTAAAATAATTATGATTTTGAATTCATTACAAGTAAAAAAAGAGAAGCCTTTTATTATTTCGTTAAGAAAATCTACCAAAACTTTTAATAGTTGTTATTTTATATTATATGCAATACAAAATTATTTTTTTCTCTTTTTATTTTCAATATAGAATCATGAATTTTATTTTATAATTAAAATTTTCCATAAGAGAAATTTAATTAATATATACATTTAATCTATTGCTTGGAATTCTTTATTTTTAAATGTTTTTTCTTCAATGGAGAGTACTTATAAATATTAAAGTATTTATATCTAAATACTTAAACCAAATAATGAAAACAATTAGAAATAAAAAAGAAACAGAAAAATAAAATTTTGGTAGTGGCAAGAATTGAACCCTAGAACTCCAAGGCCAAAACACACCTTTATATCTAGACTTTAACCATCGGAGCACCCAACAATATATTGCTCATTTTGTACATTAATATTCTTTATATATTTTTCATGCGCTATATATATTTAAAAAAAAGAGGAGGGATAGACTTTAACCCCATCCATTAAAAAAAGGACATAGTGCATTTAAATAATGTGTTATACTTATTTTTGTTTCCTCTTTTTTTTTTCATAGTTTGATCGCTTGAGTCTAATTTTTCGCTATGTTGGTTCCGTACTCATGACTTAAGTATAATTCACTTAACTTAACTGTAGTTCTTTTGACAAAATATTTTGACATTATTTGTTAGAACTACAATCTTACTAGCACAAAATAGTATTTTTATAGGAAAATTAATGAAATTTTTTGTCTTGAAAAATGATATCAGCATTAGCCGCCTCTTACAACGAACATTTCTTATAGTAATGCTTTTTCCTATCTATTTTTTTTATAGTTTTAGGGATTATACGTACCAGGCACATAAAAGACTAGTATACGAAAAAGTCCCTAAGATAAAAGGCATTGAGTTTGGTATTGATTCCAAAACCAAGAGTGAAGCTAGAAGATTGGGAGTTGAGGGTAGGTGAGCCGGCTGATCCCTTTATTATCTACCCCTTTTATCATTCCCATACCCAATTTTCGATATTGGGCTCTGCTCCCATATTTCTACTTCTCCTCTCTTCAACTGTCTGACCTACCCTATCAGACACTTTTGAAGATTGCTCTGATCTGGTAAGAATTCTATTCATTTTATTGGTTTATATGGGCCAAAATTGATTCCAAACCCGTTTGACTTTTACATTAATATTTTCCATTTCTGGGAATTTACGATTCAATGGATTAGTGTTTGAGGTTTTTTTTAAACAGTGCTGTAAAGATCAGGTTTTGAGGATGGAGTTTTTTGAAAGAGCAGAAGCTCAATTTATCATTGGGGTTGCTGTTGCTATTGCTGCTGCTGGTGCTGCTGCCTACTATTATTCTTCCAAGAAACCCAAAGGTCTTATTTACTTTAGCTGCCCATTACTTACTACATAAGTGAAGGGCGAGCGATATAGACTTGTGCATGGCTATGTTTAAGTCTAGAGTCCGAACCTCATTTTAGCGCACAAAGTAGCGTTAGATCTTGAGTTGCTTGACCCATTGAACATCTAGAGTTCGAATCACATTTTAGCCTCAAACGCTTTGGTCTAGTGGTAAGAATATAAGAATGCAGCACCATGTGTGGGTTAGGCATACATCACGAGTTCAGTCCTGCAACAGTCAAAAGCTTAGTATTTAAGTGGGGAGGGTAGAGAGGTGGGCTCATTATTTACCGGGTTTCAAACTATGTGCCATAGTCCTCGAGATTTCTAGGCTATCAAAATATGTATATATATAGGGGAAATGTTGTCAATGGACCAGGTGTGTTTGGTATGTTTTCCTCAAAATGTTTTTCCGAAAATAAGTCATTATTGTTAGTGAAAAATATATCTTGAAAATGAGCATTTATTGAAGAATGATAATAATATTAACAGATGGGATAGTGTTTTGATGAAATTGCTGTGTATATAGAGATTGATAGTAATGTTTAACCATTGATTGGAGCAGTTGGTGAAAAATGCTTTCTTTTTACAACCAAACACTGTTTTCTATTATTTGATGACTCTAAGTACTCCAAAAATGGTTGTCACAGTTTGCTTCGTCGTGTTTAAGCTGCAGACTAAGATTTTTATGTAAATGGATTTTTGACTAAGATAATTAAATAACTCTTTCTTCTTTTTTATATGAGAAACTTGTAACTTACCAAATATAACATCAAAACAGTGAATTATTCCATGTCTGATTGGTCAAATTGACCATGATAAGTAAACAATTGTCAAACAAATCGAGACAAACAAAGCATGCATTATTAGTCTTCTAGTGTTGACTTTTAAAGGCTGTACTTATTCATTTAGATAGTAAAGTTAAATACCCAATGTTTGTAGCAAGGAAACCTAAGTGCTCCTCTTGTATTTTCTAAGATGTCAGCATATCTGCTGACTTATTGGTTTAATTGAGAATATCTGCTTGAAATTTTGTGGTGACCATGCTTTTGATCTTGGTTATTATAGACTAACTAGTTAAATCGTGTTGGCTTTACAGTATGCTTGGATCCCGAGAGGTTCAAAGAATTTAAGCTTGTGAAGCGCACGCAAATAAGCCACAATGTTGCTAAGTTCAGATTTGAACTCCCCACACCTACTTCTGTATTGGGCCTACCCATTGGACAACATATTAGTTGCAGGTTCAGTTTGGTTTCTGCATTAGCCTTTGATCCTTGTGCCTGAAATATTTCTTTTTACTAATTATTAGGAGACATTTGGTAACTCTTCTGCCATGATACAATACTTTATGCTCTAACGAACAGGGGCAAGGATAGTCAAGGTGAAGAGGTTGTTAAAGCGTACACACCAACTACTTTGGACTCAGATGTTGGATATTTTGAACTAGTTATTAAGGTAAATTCTGGTTTTCTGGTTAGTCTTTGCTTGCTATAAAGTATATTCTTTTGCTCACTCTAATTGGTCAATTTGCAAATGCTTAGATGTATCCTCAAGGAAGGATGTCTCATCATTTCCGAGAAATGCGTGAGGGTGATTATTTGGCTGTGAAGGGACCTAAGGTGCTGTTCTGCTTCGTTTTTGTTATTTCATGTGTTATCATTCATTGAACAGCAACTTACAGTAGTTCATGTTCTAGTGCTGTAGCATTCTAGTTTTCTTGCGGTCCTTTCAGAATGATTTTTTTCACACCTGCTCTCTTTCAAAACTGCCTGAGTTTGTTTGAACTTTTGGAACAATATCAAAATGACTTGCAAATTGGACAATGAAACGAATAACAAGTCATGTGATTTACCTAGAAATTATTGTTTTGACAAGGATAGATTTGCTAGATATCTTATCATATTCTGCACTTTTATGTAAATTGTGGTTTCTCTGCATCCATGCCTGAGGTTCAAATACGGGACAAGCTCCAATTTACTTTATTTCATTTGAATTGTAGTCTTATTATTTTGTTAAAAAGATTCATCGGTAGTGGACTCATGCAATTTACATCTCTTGTTAATAGGGCCGCTTTAAGTACCAGCCTGGTCAAGTGAGAGCATTTGGAATGCTTGCTGGAGGCTCTGGCATTACCCCAATGTTTCAGGTCTGTCCCCTTTGTTTGATGTGTTATTCCAGCCCACCTTTCTTTTTGGTTACTTATGGTTAGCTTTATTGGTTTTCCACAATAAATTGTTACCTTGCACTTATTTACTGAGGTTTTTGGGTTTGAAGTCGGTAAATATTTGGTTGTCTTTTTCCAGGTTGCTAGAGCTATTCTCGAGAATCCAGATGACAAAACAAAGGTGCACCTGATATATGCTAATGTTACCTATGAAGACATTCTTTTAAAGGTAATTTAGCATATCACCTGATGAATCTGCTGTTTGAGTTCGTGACTAAACATATTGGACAGTTTGAGCAGTGAGCTTATCAATAATCTCATTTTTCTTGCTTTTTCTATTTTCTTTCTAATTTTCAAGTTTTTCCTTTCTTCCTCTATGTGGCAGTAGTGCTGTGTTATTGTATCTGGAGAAAGTGTGCTTAGTATAGCTCTATGCTGACTGTGGTTTTGAAGGATTTAGTATACTTATCCAGTTTTAGATGTTTTTAAGTTTTTGCGTAGTAGTGTTGTGTTAGATAGCTGAAATATAAATGCCTCCTGATTATCTTTGATGTAGTAAAACACAAAATCAGCACACAGTGATCTGTACTGTAGTTGTAGAGCATTTCCACATTGAGGAAATTGTCTTAAACTTGGGAAGAATTTCTGTGTTTGTCCATTTCTCGCAGCTAATTTCCACAGGTGAATATCATCTCTAAAGTATTCAATCTTTCTTCACTTCAGCTATATTAGTAATAAAGCTGCTTCTTGTACTGTTTCCTGGGGTTTCTCCCTCACCCCAGTTTCATCCTTTGCTTATAAAAGTAAAATTAAGCACATTTATTTGTGACCGCCACATGCTATACAACTTTTCTTTTGATAGGTAAAGTTTCCAAAATGTATGTATGTTTGTGTTTCGTAGTGTCCAAAAATGTATGCACATTATGGTCTAGTTTCTTTTAGGGGGCATTTGTTCCTTTTCCCTTTTTTGGGTGGGGGTGGGGGGTGGGGTGCATTTAATCTGAGTTTAATTTGAGGGAGTTGGTTCGGGGTTTGAACTTTTAAAAACACTCTTATTTGCTTTTGGAAGAAATGGTTTTGGGTAGCCGTTGTGTTTGGAAAAATATCATTAAAACCCCACCACGTTATGGACGCTTTTGTTGAAGACATAATTAAGTAAATAAAAGTGTGCTCTCTCTAACAACTTAAGCTTTTAGATGAGATGGTTACACACTTCAACATGGTGTCAGAGCATCGGTGAAAAAAGATCGCTGTGCGTCATTCCAGCAACATCCAGGAAGAAAAAACTCGGTCACTGTGCAATTTTCCGGTGACCTTAGTGACTAATTTGCGCCATCTCACGTTTGGTGAGTGTTGTTCACAAACCAACACCACCATTAGACTCAGAAAACTCCGGCGACCAAATCCCATTTAGATTCTCCGGCATCAAACGGCGCACGCACCGGTCAGAGTGTGACTCCGCCGGCGCGTCTGTCCCACGCGCTGTGCGTGCTTATCCGGCCATTTTTTGGCCGAGCTTCTTCAGGACAGCTTGTTCACAAGGCAATTCTGACCCTACCTAGCCAGTTTACACCTAATTCCAGCTTTTTTTTCCCAGTGATTTAGTTGCAGTTGCAGTTTCCGGCGACTGTTCCGGCGGCTGGTTCCTTTTTTTTAGCAAGCCACAAATTCTGGGAGTTGCAGTGGTGCTAGACCTCTCTTCAATCCAAACCATACAACTTTTAGTCAAGAATTTGAGAAATTGGTTGTAGGAAAATGGGATCCAATACTATGAATAGTTGGATGGTTTCTCTACAGGGTTATATTGAGTTCCTTCAGTACAAAGCATGTAAACAAACATCTTCAAAGATAGCTTCCGTTGTTCAAACAAGTTGTAGCATGACTTGTGTCTCCCAATTTTCAACCTCCGAGTCTTGGGTCATTGATTCAGGTGCCTTTAATCATATTTCTGATAACAAATCTCTTTTCACTACTATTTCATGTTCTCAATCTCTTCCAACAGTCACAATGGCCAACGAGTCTGAAACCGTGGCAAATCGGTCAAGCAAGTCCACTTCGTTCCTTACCTTTAGATTCAGTTCTTTACGTTCTCGGTAGTCCTTTTAATCTCACAGTCGTTAGTCCCATGGCCAAATCACTTGAATGCTCTGGTTTATTTCTTGATGACCTTGTTTTTATACATGAATGCAGTACGGGGCGGATCATCGGTACGGGGCGTGAATCAAATGGACTTTATTACCTTATCCTTGCAAAATCACATGGACTCACATCTTGTCTTCTCTCAACAACTTGTCCTGTTGTTGATTCACCAGATTTATGACATAAACGGTTAGGATATCCCAGTTTGTCGAAAATTCAAAAAATGGTACCTGGTTTATCTCACTTGTCCACTCTAGAGTGAGTCATGTCAGCTCGGTAAGCATACTCGTTCCCATTTCCCTCGACATCCTAATAATTGAGCAGAGTTACCTTTCACTTTTGTCCATTCAGATGTTTGAGGTCCTAGCCGAGTCAGTTCTACCTTGGGATTTTGCTACTCTAGTAGTTTCATTGATGGTTATTCCAGGTGCACTTGGATATTTTTGATGAAAAATCGATCTGAGTTGTTTTCTATTTTCCAAACCTTCCACGCTGAAATTCAAAATCAATTTGGGGTTTCTATCCGCATATTTTGTAGTGATAATGCCCTAGAGTATTTGTCTTCCATTTCAGTAGTTTATGAACTCTCATGGGATTATTCATCAATCATCTTGTCCGTACATCAATAATATATTTTTCTCCCGTGCTTTCTGAGTTCCGTACATCTTGTCCGTATCAGAGTAGGCTGAGGTCCTGGGTTCGAGTCTCACCGCCACCCAAATATCAAAAAGAATTTTCACATGCTTGGCTCATAAAAAAGAATCAAACTCGCACATGCGAGGGCGTGTTGAAGACATAATTAAGTAAATAAAAGTGTGCTCTCTCTAACAGTTTAAGCTTTTAGATGAGATGGATACACACTTCAACAACTTTCATATACGAACAAATTGAATAGACAAAATCTGATCAAACATCTTCTTTTGCTACTAAACGTATTTTCTTGTTGCCGAAAAATGTAAAAGATCTGTCTAAGGAGGAAAAACTTAGCAAAATGAAAATGTCAAATTTGCAATTGCCAAATGGTCTTGGCTTATGCAGTGAAAACATCCCCAGAGCTGTTTCTGGAAACCAACTTATTAACACGTTTGGTTTAAAGCCAAACCAAGTTGATTTCCTAAACCTATTGAGAGCCCATTTGGCTTAGCTGATCTAGAGTATCTGATTAGCATTAGGTGCTGAAAAGTACTTTTAAGTGCTGAGCTGATTTAATAAATAAGCAGTTACTTGTTAGGATAAAAGTGTTACCGACAAGTTCTTTTTATGTTAAAATGACTTAAATGACCTTAAAACTATTTATTATATGAATAAGGGCGTGATTTCTTCTAGAGTTTAGATTCCAGGTAGATTCAAATACAAAATGTTCTATTTCTCATTTTATTTTAGTACAAAGTAATTAAATAAGATTATTTTTTATAAAAATCATTTTATGATAAGCAGACAATCATAAGCTATACAATAATAATAATTAAATTAACAGAAGATTGTCAGTAAAACATACCTATGTAATACACAAAATTTGTAGAGAAGAAACAGACACTTGATGCGTATTATTTGTGAAAAATTAAATTAAAACATTCAGCTATCACGAATTGCCATCCAAATATTATTATCTCCTTGATTCTCCACATTTTCTACATTTGCATCGTTGACTCATGCGAATCTGCCAACATCAGGATCAACGAGTGGCAGATAACTCTCATTTTCAGCTTCTTGTTTATCCCTCTTGAAAATTAGATGACAAATACCAAAAAATATTCACCACAACAAAAGCTCAAAAAGATGCAAATATAATACTTCCTCCGTTCCAGTTTATGTAAACCTATTTCCTTTTTGGTCCGTTCCAAAAATAATGACCCCTTTCTAAATTTGAAAACAATTTAGCTTAAACTTCCAATTCTACCCTTAATGAGAAGCTTTTATAACTACACAAATACTGTGGACCCCTTTTTGACTTGTTCAGAACCACAAATTCCAAAAGTCTTTATTTTTTCTTAAACTCTGTGCCCAAACAAACATGTTCACATAAATTGGAACGGAGGGAGTAGCAAAAAGAGTATGAGAGGTATAAGAAAAGTGAAAAGTATATTGTACGAAAAAGATCATAGATACACTAATAGTTTGTAAAAGTTTTTGCATAACCGGTGTTGTTTTATCTCTTATAATAGGTTGCTTATGTTTTACAGGTTATCACTTCATATAAAAAGTTAATTGCAATTGACTTTGAAGTAATTCGTTAGTGTAAAACTACAACACCAGTTATGCAAAAATATGCGGAAGACGAGTGAATTTTGCTTACCCCAAATATTGCTGACGAGAATCTGGCGAATTGGAGAGGCGGCGGGTTGTTTAGGTTTTGAAGAATTGGGAGACTGAAATCATGCGAGGAGTTTTGTCTTAAAAGGAGTATTCTAGGGATAGAATAGTAGATATCTTGGTCAAAATTAAAGTGTTTATAAGCTAAAAAATCATAAGTTGGGGGTGACCAGCGGCTCATTTTTGGCTTATAAGCACTTCAGCTTAGCCAAACACCCTCTGATTTGGTTTTTTCTAATAATTGAGAATCACTGAGGGCCACTGGCGCACGGTTTAAAATTCGGTGGATAATAAACCCGCCCTGCTATTCTTCTCCACTTAAATATCATGCTTCCGTCTGCGGCGTGTTCGAACCCGTGATGTGCGGCTAACCCACACATCATGCATTTCGCTCTTACTAGTAGACTAGTACACCAAAACCCTAAGCCCTGGGACACCTTTGATTTGGTTTTAAAAACAAACATTTCGTGTTTTTCTCGAACCCTGATGTGTTCTTTCAAAACTGCATTCGGGAAATGTTATGAGAGAAACTGTCAGATGTTATGTTTTAATGGAGACTTCAACTTTTATCTATATTTTGAAATTTTGACGGGCGGGGGAGAGTGATTATAGCTATAGCACAGTCTAGCATAACAGCTACAGGCTTAATCAGATATTTTGTTTATATGATGAGCTTAATCTTCAGATACTTTATATTTACCCTTTATATTTACCTAGTCAACCATTTGCTGAACTTTCCAATAACTTTCCTACTTCCTGAAAGTTTGCATTTTAGCAATTTGGGAGGACATAGCTGAACAATTTGTGCCGCAAAAGTAAATTAGATTACTACTTGGAAATGTTGATCGTTGCGTGCTAGTCAGTTCTTGTTGAAAAGATTATGTATGAAGATACTAACTCAGCAACTGAATTTATTTTTCTTGGCCTACAGGAACAGTTGGATGGCCTTGCTGCTAACTATCCTGACCGTTTCAAAATTTATTACGTACTGAATCAGGTGACTTCCGTAACTTTTATGTTCTTTTTTGGCTTTCAAAATCATATCCTTTCATCTAGTTGTTGTTCATTATACACATTTCTTAACATTCTTTTCTTCAGGATGCCTTTATGTTTGTAAATACTAATCTCCCATCTTTCATCCTAGTTTCTAGTACTCCTGTAGATACCCCAGAAGTGTTGCATTATTTCATTTCACCTGTTTGCTGATTTATCAGAACCGAAGAAGGAACTGATGGGAAAGATGTCCCACTTTTCCCCTCAACCTTCTTGAAACACTTAACACAAACCTTTTGTGCTCGTGAAGGATAGCATTTTACGGCTAGTGTGTCAAAGGCCTGCAAACTAGACGGAATCTAACCAAAATGTCGAGTAAACATGCTTGGATCATGGAATCGATTTTGCCCAATTATTTTTAATCAAATGACATCTTGTCTTTCTTCTAAAATTCTTGATTTGTGACAAAGGATTGGGTTGCAACTAGCTATGGTTCAGTGTTTGGTTTTGATGTAATACTACAGAATAGGTAAAATATTGCCCCCAGCAGTGTAGTTAGTTGCCGAGTGTAATATATGTGGTTCAACTTCCAGAAAACTCACCACCCACCTCGAGACAAAGGGTAGAAGTAAGAAGTAGAAGTTGAGAGATATAGGTCTATGCAATTAAGCTATACTATTCAAAACATTTATTACACGTGATCAGGTCATTTCTTCTTTTGTATCTTGCCAAATTGCTCCTTGTCTAGCTGATTGCACAAATATATCTTCTCCTACATATTCAAGAAAATTTGTGTGATTGTTCACTTGTGAGAAAAAGAATATCCGACTGTTTACTCGATATATGTGTGCCTTCTGTTTATCGAGACTGTGTAAACATATATTGTTATAAAACATAGTTTGAGTTGCACATTCATGAATATTATGTGATCCTTTACTTGATTTATATGTAGCCTCCTGAATTATGGAGCGGTGGTGTTGGATTTGTGTCCAAGGAAATGATTCAGACTCGTTGCCCTTCCCCAGCATCTGACATTCAGGTGTGATATAATTTCTCTTCAATGGTTAAGCAAGAGTCTGGTTTCAATAATTCTAAATTGGATAAATAAGTGGACAAGAAATTATAATATGTTTCGAAAGGAATGTAGAGATTAAGAGCTGATTTCATGTCGAACATGCAGATACTGAGGTGTGGTCCACCTCCAATGAACAAGGCTATGGCTGCTCATCTTGAAGCCCTTGGATACACCCCCGAGATGCAATTCCAGTTTTAACTTCCTTTTCTTTTTTGCATTTTATTTTTATTTTTATCCCTTCATTGATATTTAAGCTCCATCGAGAATGCTGTCATTTACAGCTGAGGAAAGGCACTTATTATTTGCTTATGGTAGACTATTAGGGCTGTTTAACAGAGTTTGGGGATGAAACAACTCTCGAATCTAAAGCTTGTTTTCAGTTTAAGTGGGCGTTTGGACATAAGAGTTGTAAAATTCCAAAAAAAAGTGAAAATAATTTTCAAGTGAAAATGATATTTGAAAATTAGAGTTGTATTTGGAATTTTGGGTTGTTTTTGAAGTTTTGTGAGTGAATTTTGAAAAACAGTTTTTTGGAGTTTTTTAAATTTTCGAAAAATTTCAAAATTTATTTTCAAGTGAAAATTGGAAATTTTATGGCCAAACATTGATTTAGAAAAAAAAATGGAATTTTTTTGAAAAAAGTGAATTTTTTTTATGTCCAAACGGGCTCAAATAACGTGTCTTCCCTGATTTTGGTATGTTCTTTGCTCTTCTGAAATTTGCGTGGTTCATTTTCAAAGTCTACCTTTACCAAGATAAGAAAAGAAGTAATTAAGCTAATTGAAGTATCGTTGTTATTGGGTGTCACGACCATCCCACCATAGGTATCTCTAAGACTAGGTAAGTCAAACACTTAATAACATTAAAACACCTAAAATATGATATAATAAGATTGAATTTAATATTACAGTGGAAATAGCATTAACAAAAGCCCAAAATAGCAAAACGCAATACAATTTCCCAGAGTCATGAGCCTCTAATTGGATACATAAGGATATTTCAAATACAATACTGTTGGAATGTAACATTAACAACATCAACATAAAGGATGCGATTCTAAGGACTGCGACGGTCATGTAGCTCTACCTTGAATTATGGCGATCAGTGTAAGATCTCTTTAGATCCGCTGTCTCCAGCACTTGGATTTGCACAAAAATGTACAGAAGTTTAGTATGAGTACATCGCAATGGGTACCCAGTAAGTATCAAGATTAACCTTGCTAAAGTAGTGACGAGGTTCAAGTCACATGATATACTCACTAGTTAAAGAACTTGTGCAATATATCAATAACTGGCAACATAATACATAGCGAAAAATATTATTACAATTTCGTTAGAACATGTGATAACAACTCAATGTAGGAGAATCCATCTTTGACAACCAATCATCAAGTAGAAACAGAGGCATATGATAGCACGTCAAATGTAATTGGCAGCTCATTAAGAATACATAACGAAGTTTAAAGAAAATATGTATATGATCAAAATATCATCCCGTTTCGTCACATGAACATCATCAAAGAATCACCCCCAAAATCATCACATAACATCATCAACAATGTCGTCTTTATTTCGCCGCATGTGCAATATCAAGAAATACTACCCTTATTTTGCCGCGTGTGCATATCACCAGTCTTGTTTCACCATATGGGCAATTCGAGAAAATAACACCCTTATTTCGCCCCATGCGCATAACAATAATCACAATCGCACGACCAAGACCTTGTGCTAACACCCAATCTATCCACCCAATCAGTGCAGAAATGTAGTACGAGTATGTAAATCAACGCATACCCAGTAAGTATCTAGCCTAGTCCCAGAGAAGTAATGATGAGGGGTCGACATCGATACTTACTAGTGGTCCAATAAATCAGTACAATAAATTATAAATAGATACAAAACACAATGGTAGTAATGAGTTAAGAACTGTAACTACCATAATTCTCTAACATAACGTCCATGTGAATTTCTCAATTATCATTTGCCATCTCAACAGATAAGAAATATCAAGTGCTATTTTAAATAGATAAGGAATATCAAGCGCTATCTCAAACAGGTATGGAATATCAAGCGCTATCTCAAACAAATAAGGAATATCATGTAGATGCCAGGTTTCAATCAAAAGGAAAATCTCATGAATATTCGGACTCCTAGCGATATTACGCACGAGTTATGCCGAGGTCGTGCGACCCGATGCATAAGTCGTGTACATACACTGCCGAGGTCGTACGAACCGATTCATAGATGTATCACAAATTATTATTTCATAGCACTGCCTAAGTGTTCGGCCCGATCCCTAAGAAGAGAAGAAACTTATCGAATTTACGTGTCACGTATTCGCCACACAGTGATATGAGCATAAAGTAAGCATGTCTTTACCAACAATCAAATATCTCGCCAAACAACTCAAGGTAATGAGGTTCGACCTAAGATGATCTCCAATCAAATTTCAATTATAAGTTTTAGGAAATTAAACTAACAAGTTGAGTTCAAGTAACACAAATATTGTATGGTAAAAGTTCAAAGTCTACTCGGACATAAATATGATTCTAGCTACGTACGGACTCTCGTCACCTCGTGCATACGTAACTCCCACAACAAGTAGCACACAATAAATACAGTACCTACGGGGTAGTTTCCCACTCACAGGGTTAGACATGTGACTTGCCTCGCTCCGAAATCCGATAATTGACTTCTACGCCTCTCTAACACCTCAAACCGATACCAAACGATCCGAAACTAGTCAAACAATGTACAAATCAATCAAAATATACTCCAATACTTATAATTTAACAATTTATAATAATTTCCAACTCCGCTCGAAAAGTCAACAAAGTCAACCCCCGGGCCTACGTGCCCGAATTCAGAAATTTTTTGAAGATAAATATTACCCATAGCATCACGAACTCAAATATATAATTTATTCATAATTCCATGTCCAATTTCGTGGTCAAAATCCAAAATTACCAAATCTAGGTTTTCTTCCAAAATCCCACAATTTCTATCAATTTACATGTTAAAATCCATATATGTTCATGAAATATAATCAAAAGTGGTTTAGAAACACTTACCCCCAAGAGGTGGATGAATTAGCTCTCCAAAATCTCCCCAAAATCGGCTTCAAGAGAGAAAAATGAGATGAAATGAACAAATCTCGATTTTTGCAAACTTATATACTGCCCAGGCCACTCCTCTTCGCGATCATGGAAAATCACTCGCGATCGCGAAGGCCAAACTAACCTTGCCCAGAAATCGTACTACGCTAACGCGAGGCCAGTCCCGTGATCGCGAAGCCCATCCTGCCAAACCTTCATGAACGCGAGCCACGCTCCACGAAATCGTAGACCTAACCTGCCAGCCCTCGGCAATTCCTTCCGCGATAGCGAACAGTTCCACGTAACTGCAAAGAGCTACCCTCAAATCCAGGCCACCATGCTAACGCTTCACGCGCGACCCTTTCCACGCGAACGCGATGAACCATCAAACCAAACACCATGATCGTGAGCTACCATGCGCGATCGCGAAGAACAAATTCACCCAGCTCCCAAACAACACCTCGCGATCGCGAGCCTCTCTTCGCGATTGTAATGAACACCCCTGACACCAGAAACCAGCAATCACAAAATAAAGCAAAATGGTTTGAAACCATCTCGAAACACACCCGAGGCCCCAGGTACCCCGTCCAATCACACCAACAAGTCCCAATACCTTATCCAAACTTATCTTAAGGCTCGAAACGCCACGAATAACATCAAATACACGAATCAACGATTAAAACCTTATCTTAACTTTCAAACATTCAAACTTCGCCGAATACGTCAGAATCACACTTAAACATTCCAGAATGACGCCAAATTTTACTTACAAGCCACAAATCACAATATGAACATATTCCAAGGCTCGGAATCCAAAACGGATATCGATAACACCAATCCACTTCGAATCAAACGTAGGAAATTCTAAAACCTTCAAAATGCCAACTTTTCTCATTAAGCGCTGAGACGCTCCCGGACTATCCGATACTTAACCCGAACATACTCCCCAGTCTAAAATCATCATATGAACCTATTGGAATCTTCAAATCCCGATTCCAGGGTCAATTACTCAAAAGTCAAAGCTTGATCAACTCTTCCAACTTACAGCTTCCGAATTGAGAACTATTATTCCAAATTAACTTCGAACTTCCCGAAAATCGAAACTAACCACGCGTGCAAGTCATAATTCATAAAGTGAAGCTTCTCAAGGCCTCAAACTGCCGAACGACATGCTAGAGCTCAAAATGACCGGCCGGATCGTTATATTCTCCCCTACTTAAACATACGTTCGTCCTCGAACGTGCCAAGAACCGTTCCAGTGTTTCCCAAAACCACTGTTTAACACCTCGTGCACCTACTCGTGCTACCATAACCCATATAAGCACATTATCTCAAGCCAAATTAATGATCTTTCTTGCTACCTTAGCCCACAAGCATTAGAAATAAATTCCAACATCCGGAATTCTCTGTAAGGTCCGATTCTAACATACGTATACCGTATCAATCTCAACACGTGTTACCAAAACATGATCATGCACCCATGCTGAAGTTATTATCACTTTTATCATTATGTGATTTATTTTATTATTGAGTTACTCTTAGTTGAAATTGTTGTTACATGATATCCTTTTGTTGCCGGTTATTCGCATGCATTTAGACGTAGTACTAGTTCGTGCTATCTCTTTCATTGTTAGCATATTCATACACTAGAATCCGAAGTTTGCCATTTCATAGAAATACTTTTACTATTGAGTTTATCCTTAAACAGTTAATTGGAATTGAGGTTATCGGAAGTCATTAATCTATTTTAATTGAAGTTGTGTTTAAAGGGGGTGTTGTTCCTTGTCGAGTCACTTTTCCGTTCATTTTGTTGTTATTGAGATTCTATATACGTTGTGTTGATCCGTGGGCTATTTGTTGTGGAAATATTGATATCGTTGGATCTTTGGAAAGGTTGTGGCCTATGGGCACTTGTGATACGAGTTGATATGTTGTGTTGTTGTGATGATAGCACATGTGAATTATTGTGTGGTTTGGTTGTTGTTATGCAGAGTATAAGGGTGGCATTTCACCATTGTTGTTATGCGGGGAATAAGGGTGGCATCTCACTATTGTTGAATGTATGGAGTGATACGGGTGGCTATTGTGTTATTGTCCGAGCGGAGCAGGTGGCTATTATACGAAGTGATAGGGATGGATATCGAAGAGATAAGTGTGGCTAATGATAATGTCAAGGAAAAGCGATACGGGTGGCTATCAGAGAGATAAGGATGGCAATGTCAGGGGTGATGTGTGATGGCT